AAAGGCAGAATATCATTCTTTATGCCATTCAGTACTTCCCAAATAAAGACTGCTTATCTCCACAAATATCAAAACAGAAATTTACTTTTTAAATGCTATGACAGAAAAGCCATATTTATCATGAAAAGCTTATTCCCCAGAGTCATGTGCTAGTGTATGACACCATTTGCAGGTAGAGAAAACATTCAAGTATGAGCAAGTATTGCCCAGCACCCAATTGCTTGCCAGAAAAGATTTCAAAATACAACACTATTATTTTGAAAGTTATTTTATGCAGAATTGTGCCTGTTGGGTGGAGCTCATCCTGCCAAAGGTGTGCTGGAGCTGAGATTCCCCTGTAGCCCACAGCGAGAGGGGAGGCTGCCCCTCAGCAGCTCATAGAGATTAATGGTGGAGCAGAAAAGCATGTGCAGTCTGTGGAGGACCCCATGCCAGAGCAGGTGCCTGCACCCAAAGAAGCCATTTCTCCATGGAAAAGCCTGTGCTGGAACAATCTGATGGATAAGGACTGGATTCCACAGGAAGGAGTCATGTTAGAGAAGTAGTTCGTGGAGAACTGTCTCCCATGGGAAGGGACCCACACTAGAGCAGGGGAAGAGTGTGAGGAGTCCTCCTGAAGAGGAAGGAGTGACAGAAACAATGCGTGACAAACTGACCTGAAACTCCCATTGCCCATCTCCCTGTACTGCTGGAGGGAGGAGGTAGAGCTGGGAAGAAGCGAAGGGTGTGGGAAGGTGTTTTTAAGATCTGATTTGGTTTATGATTATCCTCTCTGATGTAGTTGGTAATGAATTAAATTGATTTGTCCCCAAGTCAAGTCTGTTTTGCCCATGGCCATAACCGGTGGGTGAATCCTCCCTGTTCTTCTCTCGACCCTCGAGCTTTTTGCTATGTTTTCTTCTCTTCACACCACTGGGGTGGAAGGAGTGAGCAGCTGCATAGTGCTTAGTTGCCACCTGAGGCAAAACCACAAGAAGGAAAAAGTTACCAGTTTTGTGTATGTCACAGAGTACATCTATGAGAAGCACTGACAGAATGGCATCAAATACTTCCAAGACCCAGATTAGTACCTTCAGGGGTGGAATGGGAGGGACAAAAGGGCTTTGGGTTGGGATATAGGGAGGGACCTAGAAGACATGAAGACTGTATAAATACATATCAGGTCTTCTTAGCATATTATGACATACTGGTTTTTCCTTACTCCAGCCTCCGCTTCTATGAAAACAAGCTAAATGTAGATTTTACAAATTTTCCTTTAGAAAATGAGTAACGTTCAGGTATTTCTACAATTTAATGGGTATGAAAGAGTTAGTTCAGTATGTATTGACAAGTGACGAATGTTTTGAAGTCTGAATTTCTGATTAGTGTCCCAGCCGAGAAGCAAAGTCTCAAAATAAGACATTATGCCTCTCTGAAAGCTTGCCATCAACACAGGTAGCGATCTCAGTTCAGTTCACAATGCTCAAACAGTCATGTTGTAAAAATGTCTTCCCAGCTGTCCAAGCATGCATCTCCACCAGCAGCTTTGGCACAAGGGAAAACGCAGCCGCCCTGACAATAACCCTTGTAAGTCATGGTTCAAGCACAAGAGCTGAAGAGTGGGTATTAGTGAAATTAAATTGCTGCTCTTTAATTTTGAAATTATCTTATGAATTTGGGCTTGCCTTTGGTGTGACATTCATGAAGGAATACAAGGCAAACGTACTTTGAGAAACCGTCAGAAAAAGTAGTACTAACATTAAAATATGATTACTACTAAGTAGGCAACATCAGACACTCATGGAAACTATTTCAAAACACATACGAAAGCTCTATTAGATTATAATTTGCTAAAATAGTAATTTGTTACTCTTGAGGCAGATAAATAAGAATATGCAAATGCTCACGGCTTCAGGGTATTCCATTTCATTTAGGAGGTACCTGTTCAGCAGCAGACTGGACTGCCAGTTGAATAAAGGAGTGGAGTTCAATGCATAGCAGAAATTTTTTCTGACTTTTTTGTGGGCTTTGGTTGCTGGTTATATTGCTTATATACAGTTCTAGAGTATGACTCACACGTATAATGGACAGAAATCCACTAAGTATTAATGTCTTGAAGAAAATCCTTATCTCCATTAAGAGAGAAACCTTTTGACCTTGTGTAGAAAATTATACTTGCTTCCAGTAATGGTAATATCAAAATTGTAACTTTGCAATGATTGTATTTTGATAATTAATGCCAGCAAGATGAGACGACAAAGTAAGTGAATTTCATTTTTTGATTACAATGCATAGTGCGCTTTTAATGCTCTGTATTATCCAAGGTTGCTGTCCAGTTTGCCTAATACAATCGAATCTGAGGAGCTCTTGAGCAAAATATTTGGGCAATAGCAATGTCACTTGTGTAATTTATGGATATGGACTCTTCTTTTTTGGTATACAACAAATGCTGAATCAAAGCAGATTGGTATTTCAGTAGCTACTGAGGCCTTCTTTACAATCCATTACTACAGAAAAGAGTACCTTACTCTTAAGTCACTGTGAAATTATTACATACAGTAGAAAGTAACATACAAAGTACACGTATCCTTTAGTAACTCTTTGCGAAGCTGACAAAACCAACTAATTACCAAGAAACTGCAGTATGAAAAGATGCATGCCTTTTATGTTTAAGTACGTGTCACCTACCCAGCAGTCTTGGCAGGTGGAAAAATAAGTCTCAACATGCACATTCTCCATGGATATCAGCCTCCAATTGAATCCACAAAGCTCAGAGGCTTGGGCCATACACAGATATAGCATGGCTTTTACAAAATCTTAGCAATGTATTTGTGTTATAAAACAGCACAAAAAAGTTGTAGCAATCTGAGTTTTTCCATTTACGCATGAAATCCAGTTATCACAAAGTTCAATAAATGCAACCACTCTTTCAAGAGTGGCAGAAAGAGGGTTACTGAGTCGCAGTAACACCTGGATTCTGCGGAAGACATGCTTTTTGCTCATGCATGTGTTCACTGCCCTACCTATGAAAGTGAGGGGCTGATAAGGGAAGAAAATACATTTTCCTTTTGCAGTCATCTCCAAGTTGCTACCTTGGTTTGCAACATCCTTAATTCCCAGTGATATTGACAAGACGCAGTGCTATGGTGTTCTACATACATCAGCACAGAGTGTGGTCTCTGCAAAATTCCTGAAAAGAAATCACCAAGTACAGCTATCCTCAGACAGACAATTCTTAATATCGTTTGCCACCATTCAGCAACTAATAGATGTACTGACAACTTGCTTGATAAACAGTCTGTCTTACTACATTCATACATTAGTCTTAAAAAAAAAAAAAGAGCGCAGTAGAGATATAGCATTACTTAAAAGTGTTCAAAATAGTTTCATCACAATATATGATTTTAACCTTTTGCATTAAGCCTGAAGAGGGACTGAAATTTCTCCAATTGAACTTGATACCTACCGATTTTGTACTACGTTAACATGCATATTACTCATGGAAGCATTTAAACCCCTTTGTTTTATGGAAGCATGGATAATAATGCTATCTCTTCAGGTGAATTAATCTCCTCTGCCTTTATGTGCATACAGGAAAGATCTGCGTCTGAGTTAATTGACTAGATTCCATCTCTAGGGATATGAAGGAAAAAAAGAGATTTCCCCCTCCCAGTCACTGTTCATCTCATCCTGAGATAGATACCTAAAACATGGCAGAGGAACCTGCTCCAAAGCATACACTTAGCTCCACTAACTACAGAAGGAGTCAAGGTCACAAGCTGATCTATACACTTGTACATTGTAGACACCTACAGCTAGACAAAATGAAGGTCATCTTTAGTAACTAAATGTTTTCTTAGAAACCCACAGTACCATGACTTCAAATAACTTTGCTTATTTCAGAGCAAGAGGCATTCTTTGAAAACACAATGCGGTATTTCCAATATACGACGAGCTATTTGCTATGCATATAACATAAGACTTTTTTCTTTTTTTTAGATAAATACAATAATCAAACAATGTTTTCTTACCGTGGCAGGAGCCATCCACTTCTTCATATCCTACACTGCAGATGCATCGTCCTAGAGGCACAAGCCAATCCCCATCTGCTCCACAATACAACTTTGGAGTATCACGCTCCTCAGCACTCTTCACACAGGAGCCCCGTACTTCAACCAAAGAGGAAGAATCAACCCTTGGAATAGTGTCAGGAAACATAGCCAAGTTACGGACTGTGAAAGGGCACTTTTTGTAATACACACGGACTGAGACCAAAGCAATGCATGCTCCGATGTCCTGAAAAGCAAGATAAAATCCTTTCTTGTTTATTGGCCCAACCTCACGCACTTCTGTGTTCAGTTTAAGAATGCGGTCACCCAAGTCCATCTGGGTAAAGCTCTCATCAGCTGCAATAGTATCAATTTTAGTGTACTGGTTTGGCTTGAATTTTACTCCATGAGACTCGTCTGACTCCATGTAGTAGAGGTTGAAAGTTTCCTTGCAGGTTCCCAGTACCCATGGAATACTGTTGCAGTCCCTCAGGGTAAACTTCATTTCCACATAAATTTTCTGTGCAGCATCACGGGAAATCCAGTTTGTTCGAAGCCAGTTGTTTTGGTTTGGTTCCATCACATTACATACCTGGTAAGTATGAATGGGACGATTGTGTTCATCCATTTCAGTTATGGCATCCCACTGAAAAGAAAACAAAACTGTTTGAAAACTAAGAGAAGTATGTATTATATGTATGCACATACGCAGAGCCCATGTATACACACACGTGCACCTATGACTTAACTAAGAATAATTATTTACTTAAAGTTTAGTGGAAAGACAGTAGTTAGAAGCTGATACCAACTACAGAATGGTACGACAAGTTTTGGTTCAGAAACTCCATCATGAATTTGTATTAATAAAAATATTTTAAAAATCAACGTGGCTCAGTAGAAGAGGGAAGTACTGCCCATGTTTAGATCAGCAAATTTAATAAATCTGAGAACATTCCTGGGCATGTCATTCAATCATCTACGACAAAAAAAGATTGCTAGAATGGTCCTGTTTGGTATGTAAGTGGGCTGGCACTCTGGCAGTCCTCCCAGCAATTCCCATAGCCTGGGCACATGGCACTGGCCAGGCACTTGCAGCAGTTGGCAGCTGGGATGCAGTCGGTCTGGTTTGGTGGGTCTGAGGTGTTTGGTGTAGGTTGTCTTGTTTCACACAAGCACCCTAGAAACTTTTAACTGTACCTACAGAGATTTACATTTCTGGCTCCATAGAGTCTGTATTACACTTATTTCTGCTAAAAAAAAGAGTCCATCATAAGCACCATGCCATTGTTGTTGCCTTCATAAATTCTTTCTCACAGTTTGGAGGAATTGTTTTTCCTCCCCTCCCTGCTTGAGGTTTTATAATACATCATAGAAAAATGAAGATGTTTCATTAAAATCCATAGTTCCAGGCCTTAACACCTCACCTGAAGAAGTTCTTTAAAAACAAAACAGTGAAGTTTTGCAGCTGCTGATCCCTATTTTGACTACCATATCTGTTACACAAGCCAAGGAAACATCACGTTTTTCTTCATATAAAACAGTACTATAAGTTTAAGCATTATTACAGAAATTTGTGTTACACACAAATACAACCACAAAGTAGATTTATGCCTACATTTAGCCTGTATCTGGGGTTAAATAACAGCCAGCTGTTCTATTACCCAATGACCCTTCCCCACTCGAGGACAGGAATTGGGAAAAAGGAAGACAGACCCATGGGTTGAGATAAGAACTATGTAATAATTTAAAAAATGGAAAGTAATAATGGTAACAACAATAGTATATACAGGCAAGTAATGTACAGTGCAACTGCTCACCACCCTTTCAGCAATATCCAGCCCTGTTCCCAGAGCAGGAAAGTCCCAAAACTGCAATCCCAGCAGAGAGCAAGCAGGCCTTGGCAGAAGGATGGCCAAGATCCTCCAGGGACAATGACCATTAAGAAAGAACGAACTTGTTCCCAACAAATTTTCCAATTTATAGTAAGCATGATGTTACATGATACTGAAAACCCATTTGCCAATTTAGGTGTCAGTCGCCCTGGCCACACTCCCCTCAGGTTTTTGGGCATCTGGGTCATTAGCAAAAACAAGTTGAAAAGTCCTTGAGCACTGCACACCACGGCTGGCTACAAGCTAAAACAAGTCATCTTACCAACTTCGTTCTCACCAATAGGGTGCTGCAGTCTTCCTAAAAATGCAGCTGGCTTTAGAAATGTTGCTTTTCTAAATAGAAAACTGATTCTATGATTTTATCCCAGCAAAACCAGGAAAATTTAGGAAAACCAAACAGAAGTGTGCAAGATTCTCTGTGTTTTGTGTATCAAACCACATTAAAAGGATGATGTGCTAGAAGCTACAGAAATGTCTCTGACCAGACAAAAACACTAAACAACCCAGTATGAAAGAGTAGTAGGTGGGATGACAATGTAGTTCTTAAAATACACAGCAGTCTTCAGAACTGGAGTAAACTAGCTTAAAGCATAAAATCCTCAACATATTACTGCCTCTTTAAAATATTAAGGAAAAAAAATATAAAACATAGCCTCTCCCTACCATGAAATTCTCTTTGGAAATATTTATATACTCACTTTGAATCAATAACTCGATTTGAACTTAGAAATTTAAGCGCTGAATTTCACTGCTAACCATGTAGTTAATAATATACATCTATTACTTCTGCAGAAAAGTAAAGGCTCAGCACTTCAGTAACTGGTTTAAAAGAGTAAAACAAGATGGATTCATCAAACACAGACAGTCCTTTAGTTTCTTCAAAGCAGACCTTGCACACTTCATGCCTGTGCCCTTCATTGTGCTCCCAGATAGCCTGCTGACAATTCTCACTTGATAAGAATTCATGCGTTGAGCAAGAGAAACATTTAAAAGGTATTTGTAAAAATACTTAGCAAAAGACAGTTAATCCGCACATACAAATAAAACACTTTCAAAAAAGGTTAATGTCTAATATTTCAACCTAGCCATTACATTGAGACGTACTGTATAAGGTATGCTTATAAATACAGCTGTGAGTTTGCTGGCATGTGCTCTAAATTATTAGTCCTGGATATGGGAGTACAAATGAGGTGAAATCCGCCACCCTAAAATGTCAGTGTAATTTGCTGAAAAGTCTAATAGAATTCAATCTGTGGTTATCTCTGACAAGGATACATTCTTGTGAAATTAGTGGGTGAAATACAATCTGCTTTTAATTTTACCCAAGTGTTGCATTTTTCTCCTGATAAAAACAACTAGAAAATATAACACAACAGTTAAATTCAGTGCAGAGGGGGGAAAAAAGGCAATTTATCAAATGCACACTAGTTTTCGTTTGGATGTATTTCCTATCGTAGCTCCTAATTAAGTGAAAAGTATTTACCAACAGTTTAGTTGTGCAAAACTATTCTTCACTTAAACCTTAAAAGCAAATAAACAGAAATATCTTATTGGTGATGTTTGCACAAGAATACAGTAGTTCCCCCCAGAATACCTAATTCGACATGCACAACAGCTGGCAGAAGCTGTCTGGTCTAGACAAGCTGACAGTTCAGACTTCCTTCAAACTGAGCCTCTTGGCATCCCAATGCACTGCACTACTTTCAAAATTTTTGATTACTTTCCTTTCAAATGAAGCAAACTTCTGATAATTTTGATGGAAACAACAGCAGCATAAAGCTAATTTTTACAACTGCCATTCTGGGATACGTGAAGAAGAAATGTCAAAAACATGGTTTGGAGGAAAGACTTCAAAATTCTGTTTTAACATTGTAATACACAGTAGAGTGGATAAGAGGTTACATTTTACTTTCACATGTGGCATAAAGGAGAAGTAAATGTCACTAAAATAGAACAATATAAAATCTTCTCTCTACCAAATTTCAAGATTACTTGTCACATTCAAGTAGAAAATATGAGATTAGACTACAAATCACGTTTTCATATCTCTACAAGCTACTTTACAACCTGTTTCATTTTTAGTTCTTCACTAATATTTAACAGCTGTACAGAGAACACTATAAAGAGTAAATTAACTAATTTCAATATTGCACTAGATACATAATACTGAAATCAGTTTTGAATGTTCCCCACTTTTTTGTTATCCTTATTTTAAACTAAACACTACAGATTTACAAAATCAGCAAGCGCTATTTATCACAATTCAGTAGGCTGTATCACCAAAGGCTGTAGAAACGTTACAAACGGAGAGATTGCGTTTCATGTATTTTCTTATTTTTAAACACGTTACTGTCTGATAAGAAAATGTCTTAGCATTCTGCAGAAAAGTAAACACAGTGGAATAGTTTCAGCCTGATGGAAGCAGTCAACTTCCCTAAACACACCGTTATTTCAACAAGTTCTGAATCTTGACTATTACCTTTAAATCATGTTCGGCATCTTAAGTGAGGCCTTACTGAGGTCACATCGTGCTGCTTAAAGAAAAGAGATGTTAAATTGGCGATGGGCATGATTTGCCCAGTGCTAGCCACGCACAACCCAGATTTATGGGGTTATCTCAGCCTCAGGAAGGACTGAGAGGACATTAGCTCACCCTGTTGTCACCTCCCAGCCCTCTGTGGCAGGCACCATAAAGTTGCATGTCCGATGCCAACCTCGTTGACCTCCAGCCCCTAGTAGTGCCCACAGGCAGCAGAGAACAGTCATGGCACTGCACCGGCACCAGGGCATCCTTCCCCCTGTAAAGACCTGCACTCCAGGCTCTTCTCCACCATACCACTTGGGCCTCTTGATTCCCAAGGCAGCAATTTCTGTTCCGCCATTTGCTTAGAGCCAAGGCCAAGAAGATTCTCACTAGTTACCAGTAGCCCTATTTCTGCTTCAAGAATTCATTACAGTATTTTATTTGTATGTCAAACTCTGCTGTAGAAAGTTTTACAGTTAATAAGGGTAGTTATATCAAGCAGTGAAAAACATCAATTTTGTAACGAGCTGATATCTACATCGCTTCACATGTAAGTGAAAGACACTTTACTCACAAGTTGTCACACTGATTGATGAATTAATAGTGGGTTCTGAATCTCAGATAACAGTTATTCAGGCTCTGATCCCAGTGGCAGTTTGGTAATCTAGGATGGCAGTTTTAGCATCTTGCACAGCTCAAGATTCTTTTTATTGATATTTTACTTCACTTAACAAAAAGGCAGAGACACTGGTTACTTGCGCCCACACCCTTACTCAACAGTTTAAGGAACAGAAGAGATCACCACCTGCCCTTACAAATTTTGCTGCATTTGTATCCTAAGCTATAAAGTTCCCTCCTCTTTCTCCTTACCTTTTTACACAAAGGATAATTATCTAGTAATGAAGAATCCTGCACTTAAACATACCTAACCAGTGTATCTTAACTCACTACTGAAAAAGGAAAGGTTGTGGTAGACTTAGCACGCAACATATTTGGATATTAAGCACGCAATGGGACCCTTGGGTAAAATGTTCTACTGCCAAGTACCAGCTTTCCATGCAGAGAATTGAAAGAAGAAGTTCTGCCTGAAAATAACACAGGATAGCAGGCTGGGGAGCAAAATCTGCTGACTTCAGCCACTCTTCATTTGACTACCTCCTAAGAAAAGACATCTGTAAAGGCAAGACCTCAATGGTAGTAAGTCTTCCTACCTACCTGGCAACAGAAGAAAAATTTCCTTTTAAATCAAGGAACAAAATTTGTAAGGTTCATGCTACAGAGATATGACTTACTCTACTGGTTTCAGAGAGCTAAGTAATTTCAGAAGCGTAGCCGTCAACTACTCTTTACACAGAAACGTAGGCTGGCATTTTGACCTGAACCGTAGCAATACAGTTTTCTGATGTATAACCCTCATTGCCCACAGATGTCCACCTGGAACAGGTCAGACCCCTAGTAGTAAAAGGGATGGACTATGTTTGTTATATAAGGCTGCTGCTATTAAAAATAAAAAAAGCAACCAAACAAAAAACACTCAAAAAAAACAGTCTGGAGAAAGTCACAAGTGTGTCCATACTACTCATGTACCCAAGGACAGCGAAGTATTTCCATACTTATAGCATCCAATGAAGATAAAAAGAAAGAAGATAGTATTTTTTCTAATATTTTAATCAGTTGTTCTTCTATTTTCTCATTTTCATAAATGGTTTGTTACTCATTTTGGTCATCAGTATTTGCAGTTCTCAGCTGGGAGTCATCTGCTGAGATCTACAAGTAAATTCTCACTTTCAACTGCTAGCTACTGACAATCTTTTAGATCCCATTTCCATGGAAACAAGCTGAACGGTAAAAATAAAGAGAGTTTTAGAAGTTTTTTTAATTCCTTTATACTATCTCGAGTGAGATGATCTCCATAGAAATGAGATCAGAAAGGTCTAAAGTAGGAGACAATAGAGAAGGACCTGCACTTGCCATGCACAGGTGCTGGCTGCCATCTGCAAATGCAGATTTAAACATCCAGCTGCTGTAGTGACATTCAAGCAAAACCAGCTCTACTACAGAACAGAATTGCAGAAAAAAAACAAACACACAAGCCAAAAAACTTACCTCAAATTAACTTAATTAGAAAAATGAACATTTTAAAACACGTTGGCATTTAAAACATGATACTGAAAGCAACAAGAATAAAGCATATTAAAAAGAACTACAGAATTACTGTAAATTAAAGATATTGAGTTAGCATTTTTCCCCATTCCCTCCTAACTCATTTTTCTTCACCTCCACCTTTTTTTCCCCAAGATCTATAACTCTGTATGGGAAAAGAGATGCTCAGACCTCCGAAGCCCAACAAGACAAGGGATAATTCTGAAATTATGAAATGTGACCATTTAAAAGAAAAAAAAAAAAAAAAGAAAAAAAGGCAGACAAAACTCCACAACTATTCATGTTATTTCCTAGCAAGTACAAGTTGGCACAGCTAGCAAAGTAAAAAAGCAATTAAAATACTTACGGTCTTACATTTAAATCAATCTGATTTAAAGTTGCTTAGGGAACACATGTGAATATATAGTATGCATTAGATTAGCTTTGTAGAACCATAACTACAATTGCAACACAGGTTTAGAGGAAAAGATGACATCTGTTTTCTGCATAGGCAGCAGCATGTTGGCACAGACTATGACAGTCGAAGGCAAACTCTCCCTAAAACCTGTAGAAGTAAATCCAATTAAAAAGGAAGAACAAAATCAGAATTAAAAAAAAAAAGTAATAACTAGGGAAAAATAAACAAGAGAATAGTGGCAAATTATTCTATGTTCTCCAAATGCAAGGAGATGCATTAGGTCTCAGGCTTTGGAACAGCTACTCTATGGCTGAAATGGCCCAGATGATTCAGAAAGCTGTTAGCACACTCAAAATTGAAAATCCCAAACAGCAAGTCGCTTTTCTGTTATTTACATGAAGGCCTGAATACTGAGCCACCATGAGGATGAGCTGCTCCAGATGATCCAACTTTACTCTGCTCTGGAAACTGTTCTGGTTCATATGAGTATTTTCTTCAGGCAAGCAAGACTAGGATCCAGTGAGATTTGGGGATGAACCCTGGCATCCAAGTAAGACCAGCTTCATGTATACACAACAATTGACTCTCACTTGGGGATTAGCCACTGTAGGACTTTGGGATCAGAGGACAAAACAGTACAGCCCTGTTCTAGCTTTGTAGAGCGCATTGTGGCTGTTCTAGAAAAAAAGGGAGTCACAGGTCCTGAACATGTGCCTTTATGCATATGCTAGAAAAGATTGAGATGCCAAGAAACATGTTTACATTTCAAAATATCTAATCTGATACAGGGCTCAAACTATTGGGACAGTCAATCCATTTGACTGACCAGCATCTAGACAGCAGTATTATAATGCACCAATGAAAGAGTTACTCATGGAATAACGTTTCTGCTGTATGGATAACATAGAGAAAATATAATACAGGAGCCAGAAATAATAATGCCCCTCTACTTCCATTCTAGATCGTCACAAGTCAAAGCACCCTCAGAAAAGGGATACACAGAAAAATGGAAAGACAAAAGAAAAAAATTCACACGCATATGCGTACACCTGAAGGCTGTTCATAACAAACTGATATATAATTGAAGCCAATCACTAACATATAAAATGCCATTCTTCTCAGTGCTCTGGACCAAGACTATTGTTTTCCTGAATGTGTTATGGACTACAAAAGACTTAATGACTTGCATCAAGGATCTGCAAGGATACTGTGACAGACTGTAATTTTCTTTTTAAATGAGACACGGTAGTAAAACCTCAGCAGGTGGTGAGAGATCATAGATGCCACAATTCAGTAGTGAAAAGTGCTGCTGATCACCTTTCCAGTGGTATCTTATCCCTATGTAATGCAACACTTCCAATGCATTCAGAACTGAATGGAAAGTGAGAGCAGAAAATCTACACCTTTTCCAGATACTACAGCTCTTAGCACTCAACTCTGCTGCGTGCCCTTCAAAAGTCTGCCTGAGCACCATCTCTGAGACCTGTGCCATAGCTTGCTGGCCTCTGTTTAACAGAATAAATATTAATAATAAAAAAGTAAAGAGGTAGTTTACAACTATCTGCTACTAGAACAGAGTTGGATCTAGCTGATCGTAAGAGTTGCATGCTACAATTAGCAGAGAGGCTGCCAGCAGCTGCAGAGTCCCTCTGCAAAGACAAAACACTGAATAATGCTGATGCTGGCAGGTTAATGAGAACAAGAGGCTAGTAATCCTCACTTGGTGGAATGAGACTTGTGGGATTAACTAAGAGCACGTACAGAATGCAAAAGCTCTAAACAGCGATACTTATGTGATGAAATACAAGGGTCAGTTGTGGAGTAACATGTATGTGTGTAAGAAACCAGTTTTGACGCCTGTTAGTAAATAAGACATATCATGACTTAAAATACATAAGTGTAAATTCTTATATTTCCTTATAATTAGAATAAGACAAACAAGGACTGAGAAAAAAAGTACAGCTAAAAATAAAGAAATCAGACTTTAGGTATAGTTCAGTCAGGCTCCAATAGATACTAGCTGTTTAATACTAGAAGACTTATTTGCTGCTGTGTTGCTTTATTTCCTTAATATGGGGAGCTAGAACAATCTTGACTCTGTCCCTTTCAGCACCTAGCATGATCAGAGTAACTGGAGCAGGAATGTTATAACACTGGGCAGT